CGACTACCATTTGCAACAAAACTATTGTGCATTGAATAATCAAAAATGATGGTTTGTCATTCGGTTTTTACGAAACAAATTGAATATTGGATTATTCAGTTTAAAACACAACATAGAAGGACTAGTGGCATAAATGTGCTAGTCTGATGCTATCCAAATCACCAAAGTTACGAAAATGTTAATAATTATTGTTTTCTTTATTAGAACGGTCCGTTTTATACTATTCGAACTTCACCTATTTGGTAATTACTATTTGAACTTTCAAATATATTCTGTTTTGAAAAAAACTTTCAAATATATTTTTGTCTTTTTATGGAACATATAATCTCCTAACACATGTGTTTCATATCATATTTTTTTGTCTTCAAATGATTTTTATAGCACAATCAATTTACTACATCACACGCAATCATATTTTTTATATATTTTAAAACAGAAATTCAAAATAGTGTTGAGTATGCAAGAATTTCGCACTCAGAAAATCTGATCTTCCAACTTAATCAATAAGACTACCAGAATAACTACTCACTCAACCCTATCAAATGTGAGACAATCAAATAAATTGACAAACATACACTCCTACAAAATCAAGAACTTATAGCACTTCTATAAGAGAGTGTTTGAAGATGGATTAGAGCTAATTTAATCGATTGATTAATCAATAAAAAAATGGAATCATATCAGACAGTTATTGGGAGATGAAGAAGTTTTTGTTCCTTAAAAGAAGGATCTTGTAATAAAAAGACTTTGTCTCCATCTCCAACACCAATCATGTGTAAGTATTCTTTGTCTTCTCTTTCCTTTCCTTTGAACAAGAGTCTCTGCTCTATAGCCTCAATTCCACTCACTATTGCTATCATCATTTTCAATTCACCTGGAAAAAAGTATAAGATCAAATGAGAAACTATATAATATATGATCGTTTTGTATCAAAAGACGCTCCAGTCAATAAATACAGTTAGTTGTCTCGGAATTAACCAGCCAAACTATTCGACATTGAACAAAATAACAGGACTATACACTATTTTGTTGATATGTATTTATATTTATTATAAGCTTAAAAAATTTATACATGTAAAAAATTTACATTTTACTTTTTTTTTTTACTATTTATTCCCTCTGTCCCATTTTATAACATTTTCTAATTGAATAAACAAAGATTAAGAAACTATTAAAAACATTATTTATTACTTAACTAAAACATTTCAACTAATAAAAAAATGTACTACAGAATATAAATAGTCATAACATATTTAATTAATAAAAAATTTACATAGAAACATGAGAAAATTAAATAAAATAGAACAAATAAAAATTTCTAAAACATCTAATAAAATGGGACAGAAGGAGTAGATCCAAATTATGACGATATAAAAGTTTAAGAGAATTATTGTACAAACTTTTAAAGATAAATGGAATGTATGTTAAAAAAATAATAAAAGTTGGAGAGAATTAATCACCGAACAGTTATGTCTGTTAACATAGTAATGATAGTGAAATTAATCAATGACCTTAACTAAAGCGTGTGTCTCATAAAGGGTATTCTCATAACTCATAGTCATAGGCTCATAGCCAATTGTCATTCTTAGAAGTTACATGCATAAAACTTAATAATGTACTAATATTTAAATAATGGCACCTTTTGACCGGTTATAATATGTATGATTAAGGGCGATTTATAAAGTATTAAATTTTTAAAAACAGGTTTACCAGGTGAAAATGTAATATTGAGTGAGTAGTTTAGTTTTCTAAGCTGGTTTCCATATAAAATATATCTAAATAGTCATTTTTTTTTTCACTCTAAACAGTCATATATATTCATAAGCACCAATTGTAAAAAAAAATTCCAAACTATATAATGTAAATATATATGTGCTTCATTCAATGTAGAAAATTATATGTATAAAAAGAAGATATGTAACTATTACCGAAAGTGGAGTTGGAATCAATGGAGATTTCATATGAAAGCTGAGAAACAGTGGAGACTCTAAGGCTGATTAAATCTTCAGTGTTAGAATCTTCTGATCTCTTCTGAACAAGCATCCCTCCAGGCCTCATCTCCCATTTTATGTTGTTATTATTAC